TCTTCTTTCTTTTTCGTTCCTAATTGCAATACCAATGGGGACATCCCCTAAGACACAAAGTATTAGGTGCCAATATGTCATTCTTTTTTATTGAGTTTTGTCTCCTGGTTGGGTTGTTGTTACCAGTTAACGAATTCCATCTGTCCAGGTGGCCGTTCTCAAATTTTTCTGGACAAACCTTAGATGTGACGACGTAGTCTGGTTGTAGAGTGCTGGACTGCTAAACTGAAATTCTCGAGTACGAATCCGGGCTCAAGTCAGTAGATCGTCCACCCAGCTATGATGTGTAGCTAACTCTGGCTTAAGGCGGCTGGGCATAGTGCTGACCACCAGAGTTTCTTCCAGGCATCTCTTCGGGGCAGGGGTGGGCTCCCCACTTCTCCCGAAGAAAATCTACCACCCCCCTCGAACGAGATGGAATGTATATAGTAAACCCCCGAGAAAAGTAGACCGCCCCCCCCCCCCGAAAATATCAAGTGCCCCCTCCCCCTCCCCGGAGAAAAAAGTCTGGACGAAACACTCTGACCACATTATCCCTTCTTATGCCAAGGTCACAGAAACAAGTGAACTCTACTTCACTTGCACAACGGATCGCCAAGTTCGAAAAGGTAACTTTATTATACTACTACCCTTACTGTACTAATCAATGGTGAATATCTGACTGGTAACTGGGATCTGAGAAATGTCCTCAGTATTTGTTTTCTTATACAATGGTCGCAGAAACAATTCTATTCTTTTCCATTTGCCGTATAAGCCGTTAATAAAGACATAAAGGGCAACTACCCGGCTAAATTAACATTATTATTGCTTTTCACAACGCCTCTTCGGGTTGTACCTGCCACCGTAAAAAAAAAAATTGTCAAGGGCATGACAAGATAAGATTTCGTGCGTCACCAAAACCACAGACGGGTAGTCATCTCACATTGCAATGCACGGAGACAAGTACCATAAATCCAATTTGCATGCTTTGATAAACCGGAATACATTAGCGACCCCCCGGAATAGATCAGCGACCCCCCGGAAAAGATCAGCGGAAGAATGGACACCCACGCAACTTTACTTGGGAAAAAAATACAACATAAGTTGGTCAAAGTTTTATGACCTCTTGAAACTAACAAGCCCACGCGAGTTATATTAGGGAAAAACCATTAGCGTGAACAAAAAGGTTAACCAATTTGATAGTGCTTTTCTACACATGAGATAACAGCAGAACAAAACATTTTTAAAAAATTTGTAGTGAAGACCGGTTGATGTTAGTTTTTGTTAATGTAAGCATTTCTTTCAGGAATGTCTACCGCACCCCGACCCCCTGAACGAAATTTAAATTATATAGAAATACATAATTTTATCAGTGTACCCTCAAGGAAATTTAGTATGCCCCCCCCCCCGGGACGTTTCTACAGTACCCCCATCCACAAAGGAGAAAAATGAAGTAAGAAACACTGCTGAAGATCACGACACCAATGAATATCACATGAAGTCCAAGCAACGTGCGTTATATAAACAAACAAACTGTTCGCACAATAATTTGCATTGAGTTTGTTAATAATTAGTTATGTTATGGATTTTAGTGTTACAGCAATGTAATTAATTATTAAATTATTTTTTCAAAACCGGTATTAATATGTTCAATATTATTAAGCATATTATGATTATAAACCACATAAATAACTGAAAGTCTGATTTATATAATAAATAACAGTTATTCAGATTACATAAAAACCAATTGGCGGAAAAGCTCATGTCCGATAATTGAAATTTTTTTGGTCCGTGATAATATTTGTCTTGAGATCATTTGTCCGTGAGATATTTTGTCTGGAATTTGTTGTCTGAGATTATATTTTGTTTTGAGATTATTTGTCAAAAAAAAAAAAATAACGAAAAGTCTCACGGATAGTTAGGTTAAATCTTAGTAGTTACTAGAATAATACTTTTTTAAAAAGACAAATTTTAAATAATAAGAGCATATAAGTTAAATACAAATGTGTTAATAAAAAACTTCGAAAAACAAATTATGTTCATTTATTGAAAGGCTTTTGCCAAAACAATTTATTTTTGACATTTTTAAATACTACTAGACTACCCGTTATCTAGTTAGATAACTGTGGGTTTCGGGGGTCATCCATGAATGACATCACGTCTGTCACTTATCATCAAAAAATAACCAGACCCCACATTCACAAAGATGTCACACCTAGGACGTTTTTGTCTTTTAAAAACACAGATATCGGCTGAGCATGGGTCTGACCACACCATCTCTTCATATGCTGACGTCACAGGTGTACTATACACCTACCCAACTCTACTTCACCTGCTCAATGTCCCACCAAGTATCAGACAACATGTTTTTTATCGTTAAAAAACATTCCGGCCGAGCATGGCTCTGACCACATTATCCACGATATATGGTGAGGACAAAAAAACAGGTGAACTCTACTTCACCTGCCCTGTATCCCGCCAAGTTCCAATAGGCAAAGTCAACTTTAACATTCACATCTAAAAAGAATTGAAATTGAAAAAAATAAAAGTTGACGAACCCGTACCACCCGCATGGGGGGCGTAATACGCTAACATCTTAGCTATCTAGGATTGTACTCTTAGTTAGGTATTAACTTAAATATTTTACGTATAGTCTGCGTAAGAAACTTTACGCGAATCGACTCTAGAACTAGAATTTACATTAAGTCTTGATCTAGAATTTACGTTAAGTCTAATGACCTAGATCTAGATTCATAACTTTTTCTCCCTTCGAGAGCTGATCTGTAGATCTAGAGAAATGTATTGTATACAAAAATAAAAATAACTGTTAAAAAATGATAATAGTGTCGAAACCTAATAAAAATAGCAAACGGACGCATCGTTGCCAAGCTATAGCCGACAGAAAATTAGCTTTATAACGCGTTAAAATTCTAAATGGGCAACGCAATCTTGTATGGAAGCCGCCATTAATGTTGTACAAAGTAAATAAATCATGTGACGTCACTTTTCACTCTAAGTAAGTCAGTGTTCTGAACTTTTAAAATTAATGTGGTTAATCTACCAAATGAATAAATCAATAAATTAATTAACGGCTTTCAATAAATGTGTGATTAACAGTCTGTCTGAAAAAAAAAATTGTTCTATACCTAGTAACTATTTTACAGCTTTACACATAGTGCAGATTCTCTCCTGTAACCAAACGGAAAAACAAAAAAAAAAACAAAAAAAAGATAGATTGCTTATTGGATTTGCCATTATTTTGTACGTTTCATTGTGTTGTAAAGAGCGATGTTTTAGATATCTCTTATAGATAGAAAATAATTCAATCATAAATTTTAGTTTAAAATATTAGCTGTTTCGCGAAACACATAATATGTTGAGCGTCGTAGGCGGTTGTAAAAACTAAAAGCCTCTGATACCATGAGTGATATTTTAAATATTAAAGACAAAATCATGGTCACATACTTTGTTTACCATATATGGGAATGGAATACAAAAGTTCGTGGGAAGACAGTGTAGCCTCTAATGCAGTCGACCGTACATTGTTCTGCTTGATGGAACCAGTGTAAAAATGTAGTGCCGCGTGCAGAAAGTCGTGAACCGTGTGCATTCATGTGATGGACGTGGCTATAAATGTTGATTCCAGCCTAGCAAACTTCATGATACCTGCTAACCTCAAAGGTATGTTTTAGCTGTATCGGTGTCAGCAACACACTCTCGATTATATATATATATATATATATATATATATATATATATATATATATATATATATATATATATATATAATCCAACATATACACTATTTAGGCCTAAATGTTGTATAAATCTGAAATACAACTATTTTTTTCCTGGGCAGCTTCTAAGCTAAATCGAATAGATTCAACGTAACTATTGGTTATATCCTACATATTGCAATCTATACTATTTTGAGTTTTGTAAACGTTTCAAAATTATGACGTTTCTTAGGCTGAGCAGTGCCTACATTTGTGTCGCTTCTACGTGCGTTTACGTCCATTCATATTGCACTGAGCTATAATCACGTATATTGTTTAACGCAAGGAGACTTACAGGTTATTTTAACAAAACTTTGTTTTCTCCACACCAGATGCTGAGACTAGCCGTTGTTCTGGCACTCATTGCCGCCGTGACCTGCTTCCAGTTGGATAGTCAGTGGGCCAAGTTCAAGGCCACCTACAAGAAAAACTACAAGGACCCACGTGAGGAATTCACAAGGTGAGTAACTCACACACGGCTTAAAGGTGTATATGTCAATTTTATTTTAAAGAAAACTCCAATTAACGAATTCAGTTGTCAGTCATACTTCATACGATTTCACTTTAACTGCCAAAGGATGTCTTGCATGCAATTACTTTTCTTAATCTATTACATTTGACAGTAAAGCAATTGTCCACCATCCCCACCCTCTACATGACCTCCCCCCACCCTAGTAAGCTGCAAGGCTTGCCACAGCGACCTCTGTCCCGCCCCTAAGATATAATATACAGCTGTAATAAATTATGTTAATAGACAGACTTATGGCAAACTTTTACTCTTTAATTGCTAAACATGTGTGTCTTTAATGCAGTTATTTTTCAAAAAATATAAAATATGGATTGACTAAAAATGATAAGCTAATATTCGTAAAGGAGTTTGATTATTATAAGAGTGGAACTTGATCAGCCATTAGATGCGTTTTGACGCTTTTACAACATAAAATATACGACTTTCCCGAATCTATTTTAATTGATGCTGGTACCGTTGTGTAGTTCAACTTTAGCCCTCCCCAGTACACAATCAGCCCCCTCGAATAAAATAACGACTTATATGGGCCTGTTAATCTCCTTTCAACTCTTGGGGGTGGGTTGAATAGAACGTTTTCTTTTAGCATTTTTTTTTTTTTTGGAAGCTGCCGAAATCTGTGTGTCTAAACTGGCAAGAGGCACATTGACAGACGCTATCCTATTGATGCTTGTTTGTACTTTTTCTGTGTCCACTCTAGGCGTAAGATTTGGGAGACCAATCTTGAGCACATCCAACAGCACAACGCCAAGTACGAGAAAGGCGAATACAGCTATTATCTTGGTGTCAATGAATATGCTGATATGGTAGGTCAACTATGGAAAATAGAGAGAGAGTGAGGGAGAATAAATTTATATATTCATATAAGACAACATTTTTTTAATATACAGATTCTATTAAAAAAAATATAGGCATTACATTTTGTCAGATTCTGATCATGTCAAGTAAGCATAAGACAGAAGGTTATTTGATGATAATTTTATTTTAATTATTCACATGCGCAAGAATAAAAAAAAAATAAACAAGAAAGCGTAAAGTAATTAACATTTTTACACTAAAATTATTGTTTCTATATGTTTGCTACATACTTGTTTCATTCAAGTAGGTTTGTCGTTTTAGTTATTTTTAGATTATGGAATTTCACCATTTACGAAAACCAACTTTTTAAATTTTTTACATCAATATTTAGATCGTAGCTAAAACATGTGCAAATATTTGAAAGAATGTGCCGTATTCAATTGTCATTAAAAAATATTTCCAGAGCGAACAAGAGTTCTCCAAGACCATGAAGGGGTACCGCCGTTCTAACAAGAGTAAACACAGCAGTCTCGTCCATGTGGCCGGTGACCTGAAATATTTACCTGAAGAAGTGGACTGGAGGACAAAAGGTTACGTCACAGATGTCAAGAATCAGGTGAGCACCTGATAAAATGCAAATTATTTAATGCATGATGTGTTATTTGTAATGTGTTAAGTGTTACGTTTACACTAAAAATGTGGTTACATTTTCTAAAATTATTATAATCCATTTTGATTTTTTAAAATAAACTATAGATTATTCTTCTGAAAGCAGAATTAAATGTATTCAAATCGGCATAAATGTTTTTGTTCAAGTTCCAATATCTATCGTCTAGTTATGTAATTTAACAGGATTGGTTTAATTAGTGTTGTTAGAATTAGCATTGTTTTGATGCTTGCTAGGGAGCTTGCGGATCCTGCTGGGCATTTGCTGTCACGGGCGCCTTAGAAGGTCAGCACTTCAAGAAAACTGGAACCCTTACGTCACTGTCAGAGCAGAACCTGGTGGATTGTACTCTGAATAAAGGCGAGTTGTCCCTCTTAGATTTGGTTGGTTTACTCTGAATAAAAGCGAGTTGTCCCTCTTAGATTTGGTTGGTTTACTCTGAATAAAGGTGAGTTGTCCCTCTTAGAGGTGGTTGGTTTACTCTGAATAAACTCGAGTTGTCCCTCTTAGAATTGGTTGGTTTTCGGATGGAAGAATACTTTTAAAAAAATAAACAAAACTAGCACATCAGCAAGTCTTCTAATTGAAGCTATGTAAATGTAAAAAAAAAAATGACTCGGTATTGTTTTTATTATTTCTTTATCGTGTCAAGAATTAATCCTCACGAAATACTTAGAAAAATATTGCACAAAAAAACCTAATATAACATATGTTAAAATGATAAAAAACAGAGTATACATAATTTTTTTCTGGTATAATTTATTAAAAATGTTTGTTTTAGTTACAATGCTTCGTCATTTTCTTATAGTATCTTTAGTATAAGAAACAGACTTTAATTGATATAAAATTTCAAGCTTATGTTTGTTATTGTCTTCAGGCAACTTGGGCTGTAATGGTGGATTCGCGACCTCTTCCTACGAGTATATCAAAAACAACAATGGCATTGATACTGAAGCTTCGTATCCATACGAGGCCGTAGTAAGTGCATGTTTTACAAACCAATATGTCTCTTGCAGAAAACAATTTTCAAATATAAAAACATTTTAACAGTAATACAACAATCACTGTCAATAAACATTTGTGTAAGTAAAAATTTGAAGTCGTACATAAAGATGTCATTATATGTCCATTTATCAAGCTTGTGTCTAAAATTGTTATATTTGCTTGTGTTAAAAAAAACCTTAGTAAAATAAAATTCAACTGTTGTATTTTCTCTTAATTCTTTTAGGAAAGTTTCTGTCGCTTCGAACCCTCCAACGTCGGCGCCAACCTGACTGGGTATGTTGAAGTTAGGTACGAGGATGAGGACGCTCTACAGGATGCTGTGGCTAACGTAGGACCAGTCTATGTCGCCATACACGCCACCTCTAAATTTCAGGTGAGTTTTTACACTGTTGTTAACGGTAAAATTACAAAATTATCTTCATTATCTTTTCTCATGTATGGCAGATGAAGCCGATTTCTATTGACTCGGTATACGTAATGATATTGTGGTCAGCACTATGTTTAGCTGCTTTTGCTTCAGAAACTTGAATCAACTACCCGTAAGAAACTAAGTATAGCCAAAACAAAAGTCGAATCATAATCGCGATGATAAAGATACCTCCCTCCCCCACCCAGCAGATACTGTTCCTTTTCAATGCAAACCACATAATATAATAAAGAAAAATATTTTTTTAAAGAATAAGTATTCAAATCCTGAAAAATATTTAGTGACACATTCATATAGATAAAATTAAAAACAATAAGAACAAACACTTGGTAAAAATACATTTCTGCAACTCCTAACCTTGAGAACTGGTTATTAAGTCATTATGGCCTGTTAAGTCAACAAGATAATTTAAAAATGTAACATTAATAAAACTAAAACCAAAACGATGACTTCTTAATCTGTTGAAAAATAAAATAAATATTTCTTCTCAACCTCATGTGTTATGTTACTGTTCTAATTATTTCAGTACTACTTTAATTATTTAAATGGATTTTGGGTAAACAGTTTAAAGTTTGAAGTTGTTGTTTTTAAGTTCAAAGTTTTAATATATTAATGAATTGACACTTTTCTCTTAGATGTACAGCGGTGGTGTCTTTTACGATGTTGACTGCATCCCGGACCAAACTGACCACGCCGTTCTTGCTGTTGGTTACGGCACCTACCAGGGAGACGAGTACTGGCTGGTCAAGAACAGGTACTAGAACTTTCCTAGGCTTAGTCTAACGCGGAAGGCATAGGTTTGGAATCCGGTTTGACGCTTCGTGGTTAAACATTTGGACTAAGTAGCGTTGCACGGTCAGAAGCGTAGCAACCCTTTTCATCGACCTGGGCGGAGTATTGATTTAACACCCCATCTTATTTAAATACTAATATACATTGGCTACAAAGTCGCATCCCCCCCCTCATAATGTTAAAATGTCATGGGCATGTTTTACTAGTTACTGTTCCTCCTTTGTTTATATTATATTTTGATAAGCGACTATAGACAACTATTTTTATTATTAGCTATTGATTATTTAATTCTCTCAGTGTTTAGGTCTCTAATAGTGTTGAAAAGCATAAAGAAAAATAAATGCTTCAGTACAACTTACACTTTTTCAAAAATAAATAAATATTATTAACATTAACAAAAAAAACGAACATTGTATCAAATCTCACACTTTGTTATTAGCAACAAGGACCTTGTATCAAATCTCAAACATTTTATTAGCAATACTATTATTCTATCAAATCTCACATTTTGGTATTAGCAACACGAACACTTTATCAAATCTCGCACTTTGTTATTAGCAACACGAACATTGTATTTAATCTCACTTGTAATCACTTCCAGCTGGGGTGAGTCATGGGGGATCAAGGGCTACGTCATGATGGCCAGAAACAAGAACGATCACTGCGGTATTGCCACTGATGCAAGCTATCCGACAGTTTAGATGGGAAACAAGAACATAATCTTGACTAAAAGTATAGCCTATATCAAATAGTTATTAACGATCTGCAAAATTTCATATCTGCTTTGTTGAAAATTATAATAATATCAGTGTAATAAAGGTGAATTTTCTCAATTTTTTGTTTTTGTTTTTATGTTTAAATACAATTATTAAACTAAGGAGGTCGTATCACATAGACTGTGGAATTTGTTTTTAAAAATTGACAAAGAAATCTTTGAGATGTATACTTGTCAAATTTTTACAGTGGTAACTATGAACCTACTGTTATAATAAATCCTTATATCCGTTGTTTCCTCAACTTATTGTTTAAGAACTGTTACAACGTTTTAGAATCTAAAAAGAAAAATAACAAAGTTTAAAAAAAGGTATTTAAAAAACATATTTTGTTTAAATATTTAGATGAAAAAAGATAATCCGTTTTACTTTTTTACTGAACTGACTTTTTAAGTTTATAGCCTTTATGAAGAAATATATATTTCAATAATATGTTTTTTCACACAAGAGAAATTGAATTTTCTTTAAGTTTTATCATCAGGCACTTTTTAGAATATTGTACAATAGACATATATGAATATTATTTTGTGTTAATAAATATCTTTTTTTTTAAAAGTGTTATAATAGTGTAAGATTTAGGTATTTTAATTCATAAAGTTTTTCATTAAGTAATTCATTTAACAAAAACACAATAAAAGTAAAGAATTTCCGACATTCAACAAATTACTATCCAGAGTGTAGAAAAGAAAACCATAACATTTAACGTGTCAAAAAACAGGAATACGGACACAAAATTAAGAAAAATATCCTGAACATTCAGTGACCTTTTCAAAAATGTTGCAGGACTATAAAAACTTAACTATTTCAAATTTACTTGATGTAATAAAAAGGATACAACTTTTAAAAGTTAATTTTTTATTTAAAAAATACCAAAATAAAAAAAAACGAAGACAATATATAAATAGTAAATACATACAACAAATGTATACAAATCAATGACAAAAAAAAAGAAAAAAAATGAAAATCATGGTATTACAAAGGGGTCGGTGTGGTCTAGTCGGTAAAACTCATGTTTGCAAAACCGAAAAGTCTCGAGTTCGAACCATAGGGCAGCTGAGGCTGGTTAGCTAGGAGAGATAACTCCAAAATCAAACAACTACTGCCTTGTAGTTTGTTCTTGGTTGAACAAAGGCTAGTAAAGCAAATCCAATATGAAAAACAAGCTGAAATCAGAGTCAATGGCCTCAATGGCGCATAACCAGTTGACCGTATACTTAATTTTTGTTGGAGGGGTTCCCTTCCAACACTAAAATTGATAATTAAGAAGAAAAAGAGCAAAGTTATATAAAGACAGCTTTAAAACTGAGTTAATAATTTTTTTTTTTTGTTCTGCTAGACGGAGCATCTGCACTGTGTATAGAGCTGTAAATTACATATTTATTTAGAAATAAATTTTCTTTTCCCCAAATGTTATACACATGATTTTTTAAGACGATAATAAATGTGTTGATTTATTTATTTGTAGAAATACCAAATCTAAAATAAACACGCAATGAATAAATAAATTTCTTAGCTAAACTATTTCAGGTGGTAAATATCTTATACAATTTTTTTTTAAATTTTTTAGCATTGAAATTGAATATATAAAGTAGTAATTTAATTTAAAATAATGTTCGCGTAATTTTAATTTCTTATACGTTGGCTAAAGTAAAATAGCTCATTATATTTAAACTTATTGTTATGTGCCTTGTCGGCCATGCTAGTGTAATAGTAACCGTGGTACTGGTTTGAAACACATCATGTTTTAATTTTCCCCCATAGAAAACGCACAGTGCGTAATCACAACACACGCAATAGGTTCTAATTCATTTATAAATCAACGTTAGCTTTTATAATTTATTCATTTATTATTCACATAAAGTTCGAGCTGAGAAATATAAGAAATAAATCGTTGAGTTTAAAAGACAAAAACATGTAAACTGAGGTGTGGCATCCTTTTAGATGTGAATACTAAAGTTGCCTATCGGAACTTGGCGGTAACTGGTGTTGGTGAAGTAAAGTCAAGTGTTTTTGTGACCTTAGCATATGAAGGGACAGTGTGGTCAGACCCATGCTCAGCCGAAATAAGTGTTTTTATTAGACAAAAACGTGTATTAAGTTTTGACGTCTTTTTAAAACAAACGTGACGTCATTTATTGATAAACCCGAAACCCACATTTTTTAAGGATAACGGGTAGTCTAGCTTCTACTCAAAATCACTGAACTCTCGTCACAGCTCTGTTTACTGTCTGAAATATTATAGCAAAGAAATTTGATTTTAATATTCTCTGTTACTAAAATATAAAGTGTGTTATTTTTATTTAACTTACAATTATATTAAAGTACGTTTACCACTATTTACATTATAAAATATGGGTAATTTCATACGATATTAACGTTACCAAGCCTAGATCTAGATATTTTCAGCTGTTTATACTATAGACATATGGATTAAAAAAAAACCCATCCCAAAATAAGTTCTAGGCTTTAAATATTATACATATTTCCGCATTTAAATCTTCACTGAAATTATTTAATTTTAGTTGCAAATATAAAATAATTATATTTGTGGAAATTGTTATTAATTAAAACGTTAACAGATATATTGTCTTGTCGTTTGAATTTTAAGGTGAACTTTATCATCCTGAATTTATATTTTACTGTTCTAAATGAACGAATCACTATAGAAGATAAGACACATCAAAGGGAGTTAATGCAGATTGTTAAGCATTGACCTAAATATGTATTTTTGTATTCGAAGGTCGCAGAAACTAACAACTTTATCAGTTTTATAAACAGCCATGATCCAAATGTTCCATGCTTGACTAAATTAGTATTGTTATTACTTTTTTAAAACGCCTCTTCGGATGTACCTGCTACAGTAAAAAAAAGAGTTGAAGGGAATGAGAAAATACGATTGCGTGCGTCATTAAAACCACAAATTGCTAAATACCTACATAAGGTTTGCACGCGTGGATACACAGGAATACCCTACCGGTCCCCGGGATATATCTGCGAGAGAATTTACACCCACACTGCACTAGCGAAACAAAAATAAAACCTAGGTAGGTCAATGTTATAACCTCTTGAAACCAATGTGCCCACGCGTATTTTCATAGGATAGAAGTATGAAATAAAAGAAAAGGGTTAAAAAGACTAATGTAATTTTTCTGCACTCAATTTGTTAACGATACGAAACATTGTATAGTTTGTGTCGTGAAGGGGGGATTTTGTTGACTTTGGTAGTAAGATAAATTACCTGCAGAAATGAACACCTATTGAAGTCATAGCAACGCCAATTTGTATCAACAATTGCCACGTAATTTGCATAATCTTTGTTAAATAATCAGTTAATAAACTGCACTTCTGATTATATTGCTACTGATACCTTGATTGTGTGGCTACTAGTTCACTGAAATTTGTATTGCATTAAAATTAATTAACTAATTTTCCTATCTATCTATCTATATATATAAAAAGCAATGTATGTTTGTGTGTGTGTTTGTTTGTCCTTTATGCATTACTACACCTCTCATCGCAACGCCGTGAAACTTTGGGAAGTTGTTGAGAATATTCCTGGGGAGGTTTCTGCGAAAAAAAAATTTCAAATTCGCAGGGGTGGCGCCCCGGCAGGGCGCGATTTGTTTTTCTCTATATACGGTATATAAAAATAAAAGTAGATTTTGGTTTGACACCATTCATCTGATCGCTATCACACTTTGGTGAGTTTATTAGAACACTTTAAGGAAGGGTTGTGTAAAAGATCATTTTTAATTTCACAAGGGCGGCGCCACGGGAGGGTGCGATTTTTCTCTATATACCGTATATAAAAATAATAAAAGTGAATTGCCGTGACACCGTTCACAGATCGCAATGAAACTTTGGGAAGATATTGAGAATATTCCTGGGGAGGTTTCTGCGCTAAAAACATTTTCAAATTCGCAGGGGTGGCGCCCAGGCAGTGCGCGATTTGTTTTTTCTCTATATACGGTTTATAAAAGTAAAAGTCTATTTCGGTTTCACACCGTTCATCAGTGTACCATGAAACTTTGGGGAGATGATTAGATCACCAACGGTAGGGTTCTGCAAAAAAATATTTTTTTAATATTGCAAGGGCGGTGCCCCCGGGGGAAGCGATTTTTTTTCTCTATACACGGTATATAAAAAATAAAACTCGGATGCGGTTCATCCGAGTGCCATGAAACTATATGGAGTAGATGAGAATACTCCCGAGAATATTTCTGCGAAAAAGAAAACTAAAGTTTCTTATGGGCGGCGCCATATAGAGTACAATTTTCGTCAATACACGGTTTGGCGCCCAGAGTTTTAGAGCGACGATGTTGGCACTTGGCATCCGTTAATCGTGCGTCCTGCATAGCGAGTAAGGGGTACTACTATATTCAGCGGTAAAACTACAACAGGCTTCTAAAAATAAATTTGTAACGCGAGGAAATCCTGTACAGTTTCGTCGCCTTGCGAAAGATGAAAAAATAACTTTTTGAATATGAAGAGCCTACTATAGAGTTTCGTCACTTTGCCAATGATGCAATAAGCATATATTATTAGACGATCCAGTCATAAATTGAGATCGAACATCTAATAATAGACCATTAGTAACGCTAGCATATTGCATCAGTCACACTAATGTTTAAAACACGTCAAATAATTTTTTTATGTGTTAAAGAAAAAAATCCTGTTCATTTGTGTCACTTTAGCGAATGACGAGATCTGCATCATTGTTTACAGGATGCTATTTTGGCACGCTGGGTTATCCTATTAGAACGATGGTGCCTGTTAGTTTTAAGGAGCCAGGGGCCGTACGCTGCACCTATGCGGTAGTGTAATCGGGGGGTGGGGGGGGGGGGCTCCTGAGAGCGAGACTCTACGTCCCTGACACATGGAAGGTCACCGAAGTGTGTTCTACCTAATTATTTCGGTGAGTGATTAATGTACACTCGAGGTTTTCATGCGGTAGTGTAGGTAAACCCGTGTCCCGATAATTATAATCCAAGCGCAGGCATTGTTTACATTTAAATAACACAGTTTTAGAAAACAAGGTCACGCGTCTAAGAACATATTATTGGTAATGCATTGGTGATATCCTTCTAATATATTTCGTCAGACTTTCTTCTATCCCCGCGGCAACGCGCGGGGGACGGGTACGCTAGTCTCGAATAAAACTGCTTTAGCAAAAGTTTTGAAGCAGAAAAAAATCATTATTGAAAATGAAAGGGACAATTATTTTAGTTTTAAATAGGTCTTTTTCATGATAATCCGGGCTCAGTACTAAAATGGACTTTTCTGTCACAAATGGTATTATGATTGAACAAAAACCAACTGTAAGTTATTCCAATTACTTTTACGAAGGGATGGGAAGGGAGTGGGGGAGGTGGGGATAGTTTCACCAATACTTTTCACACTGCCAGATAAGTTGTTTAAAGAAAAGAATCAATTTTAAATTATAAAGTTACATAAAACAATATTAACACACTTTGAAATAATTTAGTGAATTTATTTGCACTAATCGGAAAGTTTATGCCAACAAGATTTTTTTAAAGCGCAAATGTAATTTTGACTTGTTAACTTCTTTTTTTTTATTTGGCGTAATGAGTGCTGTCGTCTATATCCCGTAAAAAAAGAGAAATAAAATACTGTAAAGCAGTGTTTCTTTCATATTTTTCCTCTATCCGGGAGGAGGGTGGGGGCACTTGAAATTTTCGAAGGATGGGTTAGAGTTAGGGTTAGGGTAAGAGGTATCTAAATTGAGATACCTAAAAGAAACTCTGCTGTAAAGCAAACAGAAGGCAAAGAATTTGAGCGTGGGAAGATATTCAGTCATTGAGCTTTTGTGACCACGAGTGATGCTTTAAAAATACAAAGTCATTGATGCATCCATTGTTCGCCAAATATGGGAATAGACGACGGTTGTGGGAGGCAGCTTTAAAGTAAAGTAACCTATCATACAGTCAGATTTACATTGGTTTGCATCAAGAAACAAGTGCAAAAACTGAAGTGCCGCGTGCAGAAAATTTGTGAACAGTGTGCATTCATGTGATGGACGTGGCTATAAAGGTTGATCGCCGCCTAGCTAACTTCATGATACCTGCAAACCTCAAAGGTATGTTGTTTTCTTTCAGTTGTGACGATGATATATACTTATATATATATATATATATATATATATATATATATATATATATATATATATATATATATATATATATATATATATATATATATACATTTCTAGACTTATATGCAGTATTTTTGATAAATAAATAAAAATTGCTTTTTATCTGGGGGGCCTCTAGGCTAATTAAGCTAAAGCGAATTGCGAATTCCTTATAGTAATAGTTTCTTACACTTTATATGTAGGCGTTCGAGGGGGGGCAGCATTCTTGGTGCCCCATTCCAGCGCCCGGGGCGGACTGTCAATTTAGTGCAACCCCTAGTTATATATATATATATATATATATATATATATATATATATATATATATATATATATATATATACATATATATATATATATATATATATATATATATATATATATATATATATATATATATATATATATATATATATATATATATATATACATTTCTAGACTTATATGCAGTATTTTTGATAAATAAATAAAAATTGCTTTTTATCTGGGGGGCCTCTAGGCTAATTAAGCTAAAGCGAATTGCGAATTCCTTATAGTAATAGTTTCTTACACTTTATATGTAGGCGTTCGAGGGGGGGCAGCATTCTTGGTGCCCCATTCCAGCGCCCGGGGCGGACTGTCAATTTAGTGCAACCCCCAGTTATATATATATATATATATATATATATATATATATATATATATATATACATATATATATATATATATATATATATATATATATATATATATATATATATATATATATATATATATATATATATAACATTTCTAGACTTATATGCAGTATTTTTGATAAATAAATAAAAATTGCTTTTTATCTGGGGGGCCTCTAGGCTAATTAAGCTAAAGCGAATTGCGAACTAAATGTTAACCAGACTTAAGTAGGCCTATGTTTCGTATATTGAAGTATTCTTTGAGTTATACACATGCGTTGAAATTACCATCTTTCCATGAATGAGACTAGTCATGTATGCAAGTGTATCGCTTTTACCTGCCTTTACGTCCTTTCGTGCGGCACAAAATAACGTTTAACGTAAGTAGACACTTAGGTTGTTGAACAATGTTTTTCCACCACAACAGATGCTGAAACTAGCCGTTGTTCTGGCGCTCATGGCCGCCGTGACCTGCTTCCAGTTGGATAGTCAGTGGGCCAAGTTCAAGGCCACCTACAAGAAAAATTACAAGGACCCTCGCGAGGAAATAATGAGGTGATTAAGTAACGCTTATTACTCGAATATCAATTCTTGTTATACTATTAGTTGATCAGCCCTCACAGACATGTTTTTATGTTTATACAACTAAAAATTTCTCGTATCCCAAATTTATGTTCATTTATGATTATTCTATTACTTTGTTAAAGCATAGCCCTTACTCCTTACCAGGACGAAATTAACGCACTGGGGTACAAATATTAACTTTATATGTGGCTGTTTTCTCCCCGCTCACTGTGGAAAGGTGTGTGTGTGTGTGTGTGTGTCTGTCATTTCTCCACTTGACATATAGTTAATGGAAGCTAGCAAAATCCGAGTGTATAACCCGATGGTAGACATATAGATTTACATATAAACTAAACCACGGGTTCCCAACCTGGGGGTCGCGACCCCCCTGGGGGTCGCGAAGGTCTTTCTGGGGGGTCGCCAACTGGTATACTAAACCTTAGTAATTTGAAACAAAACATACATATTTAGAAGAATTTTTGAAATTCGGCTTCATAAACATCACTGGAAATGTAATAGAGAAGAAACAAAGCGCACTGTACAGACTGTTCTCAGTCACGAATCTATGAAATCTTCAAAACTAAAAAGTCATTTGAGACGAGTCATTCGGAACACACCAAAAAAATATATGGAGTTCTTTCGTCGGTAAGAAGCTAGTTGCAAACGTCAGAGACTTGATTGAACAGGAAGTTTTCACCAGCATTAGTGCAAGCATCAAATGAAGTCGCGATAGAAAATGCCAAGCAAAAAAAAAAAAAACAATAGGAGACAATCTCATCAAACGCTGCATGTACATAAATGTTAAATAACACATTTTTATTGAAAAAACAAGCTTTCACCATTGTTTGCTTTTCGAGTTGATAAATCAACAGACGTGAGTTCGTGTTCGCAGTTGCTGGTCTGTGTCTATATTCATGCGGATGATAGCAAAGAAGAGTTGCTCTTTTGTGAAGATAGCATGGAGAAAATAAATACTTTTTTTTTAAACTGGATGATTAAAATGGGTTAGAACGGCTGTGGGGGTTTGTACGGATGGTGCGCCATCTATGTTTAGCTCAAAATCGGGCTTTCAGAAAACAGAAAAGATTTAGCTCCCTAACCACTGCCCTAACCAATCGACATCAATAGTCCATTGCTAGTATAAGTCGTAAATTATATAAAATCTGGAGCCTTCAAAGAACTGAGCAAAAACATTAATATAGATCACGAGGTTCTGCTCTTCTACACTACAGTACGCTGGCTGTCAAACGAAATGTTGTAAATTGTGTTTTTGAATTGAAATCTGAAATCGAATTGTTCTTGGGAGTGCAAAAGAAACAAGACTTTTTGGTATACTTAAAACGACATAGATTGGTTGGAGTGAGTATCATACCTAGCAGATGTATTCGAACATCAACATAAGCTTAACCTGAAGCTTCAGATAAAATGAACGAATATTATAACTTGCCATGATAATCTCGGGGCATTTTTATCAAAGCTGCAAAATCGGTAAAGAAAACAAATCTTGGAAATGTTGTAAATTTGAGAAACTCTGCGGTGTGGTAGATCAATCTGATTGTGAGATAATTAAAATTTTGAAAGAAGCGATTTCTGGGCATTTTGAATCGCTTGAAGACGAACTGCAATGCTATTTCTCTGAGCTGAAAAAAGAGGAATCTGCATTTACGCATTACCCATTCTCTTCTTCCCTTGATGTTGCCAGCATTCCCGATGAATTACAAGATGAATTCTTTGATTTGCAGAATGATTCCGAGTAAGATGAAAAACTGCAGACACAATTTTGGTGTAGTATTCACCATTCATACCCAAACGTAAAATTGATTGACTTTTCGAGAATATATTTTCAACACTATTCTTCTATTAAAAACAAAATTAAGACATAGGTTGGCGTTAACAAAAATTTTTTTAATTTAAAAACTTAACCACGAACGTTTAGTGAATAGTATGCAATTTTGCTCATGCTATTAAAACAGTTATCAAGAGTAGTTCATATTGAAAGTCTACTAGAAAATCTTATTTTAGTGCTCATTAATTTCCATACTAATTTCGGCTTTTTAATTCTATGGGGGTCGCGGGTCACTTACTTTTTATAAAAGGGGGTCGCCACTCGAAAAAGGTTGGGAACCACTGAACTAAACGGTTGATTGCCTTCTTTCTTCTGTGTCCCCTCTAGGCGTAAGATTTGGGAGACCAATCTTCAGCGCATCGAACAGCACAACGCCAAGTACGAGAAAGGTGAATACAGCTATTATCTTGGTGTCAACAAATATACTGATATGGTAGGTCTACTATGGGAGATATATGGGGAATCTTTCAACAGGAATATTAATGAATATATTGACTTAATAAAAAAAACAAACAAAGGGCAGGCATTCAGTTCGGTTCAATTTAAAGTAAAAACTAACATCTTTTTAAACAAAAAAAGAATAAGATGATAATTATTTTTCTATTAATCACAAACACCATGAGTAAACGAAATGTCCGTATTTTTCGGATTCCAGGCGAGCGTAAGTCTATGAGTCTACCCTTCTTTGATGGGTACTTGACTCTTGATGAGAAATTAAAAACTTTGTGCAAATAACTAACCACAATATCTCTTTATTTCCCGTGATTACGTAGGCTCATTACCAACTCTGTTAGCAGCCAAGTTTACAATGATATATTTTCTAAATCACTATGATCAACTAATTGTGTAATAATGATATAAAAAATTGTCGTAAATAGGCATAGGGATAGTGTTTATATTTGTTGTATTGCAAATTAAAATTGTCAACACATGAAAAATGATAAGAATTCATCATATTGTAAACATAAACATTTTATCTCGTTAGTTTCGTAGAAAAAAAATTATTAAAGCAGAACAACACAAGAAGTAGTGAAGTAATGTATTTGCTTTACACTTAAAATATTATTTGGATATATGCATTTGAATTTTAGGAAGGTTGTTCATGTTGAATAAATTTTGGTTTATGTAATTTAACTAATTTAACTTTAATTTACCTGTTTGTTCAGGTAGGTCTTTTATTTGAATTTATTTTTAGATTATGTAGTTTAACTATATATATATATATATATATATATATATATATATATATATATATATATATATATATATATATATATATATATATATATATATATATATATATATATGCCATAATTTATGTGCAGGTATACATTTTAGTTTATATAATTAACATTTTGATATACCTTTTACATTTGTAATTTGGAATAATTTTTATTTTATGTGATTTAGCAACTTACAAAGATTAATATATCAATTAAAGTTATGTAATTATAATTGAAACATGAATTATATTTCAAATTGTTGATATGATAGGCGGCAGTCAATTATCATACAAACCCTAATGTTTCCAGAACGAGCAAGAGTTCTCCGAGACCATGAATGGGTACCGCCGTTCTAACAAGAATAAACACAGCAATCTCTTACATGTGGCTGGTGACGTGAAAGACTTACCTGATGAGGTAGACTGGAGAACCGAAGGTTACGTCACAGACGTCAAGGATCAGGTGAGCACATGATTAACGCAAGTTAATTAATGAACGACGATTGTCATGTAGAAATTGTAACGTGTTTCGGTGGCTTAGCCAGGAATTGGTCATTGAAGGGGTTCAAAAACGTTTCCATACGTATAGAATCCTATACATCGGAAGCAATTTTTTAATTTGTTTGAATTTCCATTTAGGTTTTAATGAGCGTGTTAACATTTTTTTTCTAATAATTATGTATGTTAATTGATACGTTTTTTTAATGCTTTAGATATTAAGATGGTATGTTTTAAATCACTGTTTGCTTTCTAGGGAGTTTGCGGATCTTGCTGGGCGTTCGCTACCACAGGCGCCGTAGAAGGTCAGAACTTCAAGAAAACTGGAACCCTTACATCACTGTCAGAGCAGAACCTGGTAGATTGTTCTGGGAAATTCGGTTGGTTTTTGCATTAGTTAATTCATTTTAAACTTAAAACTATGACATCATAATGTTTGCTAATTGAAGATTTTTAATATTTGTAACATAATAAAGTAATCTGTATTGCTATGAATGGATTCGGCGTTTTCAAAGAAATTTCGAAAATAAATTGTACAAGAAATATTGATAAATAATATCTTACACATGTTCAAAAAGTAGATTATAAATTCTTATGATTTTTTAAATATTTTTTTTCCAATTATTTGCAATGTATTGTCATTATCTTTGTATATGTTGAGTACGGTTAATATGTTTATCAATATAAACTCTGAAAAGGCTGTCTTATATTATTATCAGGCAACAATGGCTGCAATGGCGGACTCATGCCGTATGCCTACGAGTATATCAAAGAGAACGACGGAATTGATACTGAAGCCTCGTACCCGTACGAGGGCGTTGTAAGTGTATGTTGTAAACTTCGATTGGTTTTTTGTTCTATTCAATATTTTATCAGCAGTATATCAGTCGCGATGCCAAGCGGTAGAGCGTTAGACTGCTATCCCCGAAAATCTCTAGTTTGAATCCGGGTTCAAGTTAGTAGTCCACGTGAATAGTAAGGATTTCTCCCTCTAGTTATTTAAATAATCTAGATATAATTATTACACAGTAGAACGTTATAATTGGGTATTTTAATAATAAACTGTAACTAAAGCCGCTTGTATTAAATATATCTTAATTCAAAGCACTTTTTTATATCTCAAAGTTAAATATTAATCGTCGACTTAAAGCAGTTGCAGATTCTCTTTGCAAAACATGTTACTTGATGATGTTTCGATAATCAATAATATAAAGAATGCCGATGGTGTCAACTATATTTTTTAAATTGTAAAAATTATGTCAGTAACGAATCGTTTAAATTACATTGTTTTTAATCATGTTGAACTTAGCAGGCTGGAGGAGATATGTATTTTTTGTTTTGTGAAATATACATTACATTTATTTAATTATAATATATATATTATATTATTTTATATTTGAATTAAACAATATAATTATCATTATGAAAATAAAAAAAATAAAACTTCATTAATTTCCCAACGGAATTTCCAATCTCCAACGCAGAGGCGAAAGAGGGGGTGGGGGTAAACCCTAGGTGACGCCAAAATGGGTTGTAAAAAAAATTAAAAGTTCATTTTAGCGGCAGTTTTGCATTATAAATATTAAAAAAAAATATGGATGGGGGTCGCCAAATTGAAAGTTTGTCCCAGGTGGGGGGGGGGGGGGGTGGGGGGTGGGCACAAAATTAAAAGTTTATCCTCGGGGGTGTAGGGGGCGCCAAATTGAAAGTTTGTCGGGGTCGGCGTGGTCGAGTCGGTAAAGCTCATGGTTGCTAAACCGAAAGGTCTCGAGTTCGAACCCTCGGGCAGATGAGGCTCGTTAGCTGGGTACAGCCACTCTTCTAGGAGAGACAACTCCACAATCAAACAACTGCTGCCTTGTAGTTTGTTCTTGGTTGGGCAAAGGCTATGGAAGCAAATCCAAAAAGAAAAGCAGGCTGAAATCGGAGTCAATGGCCTCAATGGCGCATAACCAGTTGACACGTAACGCTTAATTGTGTTGGAGGCGTGGTCGAGTCGGCAAAAAGCTCAAGGTTGATGAATTCGAAAAAGTCTCGAGTTCAAACCCACTGGCAGATAAATCTCGATCCCCTTCAACACTAATAATTAAGAACGAAGAAGAAGAAGAAGAAAGTTTGTCCCCGGTCACCGAGAAGGGTCGCTACGCCTCTGCTCCAACGTAATTAAGTATTAAATAAAACGCTCCAAGTTCCCGTTGTTTTATTTGTCCTTGTGCTTTTCTTTTTTCGATGTGCTTTCCTGGCCAATGAAGAGCAATCTGCAAACCAGTAGTTATTTTATTTTGGAATTTTCTACCCTACATGAGTGACTGTTCTCAACTAACGAGATTAATTTTCCCGAATCACAAAGTATTAAAAGAATCCAATAAATATGAAGAGTTAGAAAAATCCACAGGTCAACCTTTGTATTTTCTCTTAATTCTTCTAGGAAAGTTTCTGTCGCTTCCAACCCTCCAACGTCGGCGCTAACGTGACCGGGTATATTGAAGTCAGGTACGAGGATGAGGACGCTCTACAGGATGCTGTGGCTAACGTAGGACCAGTCTCCGTCGCCATACACGTCACTTCTAAATTTCAGGTGAGTTTTTAATTTTTTCTTGACGGTAAAATTAATAAAATGTATCATCGTATTTGCCGTTCATGACCGAGACACGTGGGCAGTTGAAGTACAGGTCATCTGTTTCAACGACCTTGTAAACAAAGGAAGTTATAGTGGTCAGCACTATAGCAACCTGCATTTGATTCTAATCCTAACTTGGTGAATTCGGGGACGTTGTGCGGACTCGCATCCGAGGTTAGCCTTCGGGTTGGCTGTCGTTACTCTACCACCCCACTAAGCCAACTTGACCGGCATTGGTACTGTATAGACTAACTTTGAGCTAATATAGAGGAATCATATCCGAAAAGAATATGATACCAACACTTCAACTTTAAAGCACATTTATAACCGTTTATGAAGCAAACAATATTGATTTAAAAAACAAAAACAACGAAAAACAAAACTGAAATTAAAAAATTTAATTAAGAATCAACGTTTGTTAAGATCTAGTCATACGATCTTGACGATTGCTCAACAAAATGCTTATTTTTGTATAAAAAAAACTCCAGCCTTAACGATGTATTTGGATGTTGTGAAACACAATCTTAAATATGTTCCCTACACTGTAATAAGTTAATTCAGTAAAAATTCAATTATTAAAAAGAAAAGAATGAAAATCACCGTTTAATGTGTATCAACATTGTATTTACCAATTAACTATTTCCTTCCCAGCAATACAGCGGTGGTGTTTTCTACGACACTGACTGTAACCCTGACCTTGTTGACCACGCCGTTCTGGTTGTTGGCTACGGCACCTACCAGGGGGATGAGTACTGGCTGGTCAAGAACAGGTACTAGAACTTTCCTAGGCTTAGTCTAACGAAACCTAACCTGGACGTCATTGGTTCGGTACCCGCCTCTATAGCTTACGACGTTACTCTGTTATACATTTGCCGCGTATGGACATGATACAAACGAAAGTACTTTTTCGAACTATACGTTCCATGTGGCAGTTGAAGTAAAGTTCACCTGTTTCAGTGACCTCGGCATATGAAAGGGATAGTAGTGTCAGCACTATTCCAAGCCGCCTTTACTCTCCCACACGTGAGTCAGGTACTCATCAGAGCTACGTCGTGAAAACTCCAGTCTGTATTTCAAACTAGTTAGCGAAAGAAAATACAGTTTTAAAATATTAGAATGGGAATCAATGATAATGGTTGAGGTCGTTATGGCCTGATCGGTTAAGCTCGAAAAAGCTCGATAACTGGGGACAGTAACTCTTCCAGGAGAGACAAATCCAAAATCAAACAATTTCTGCCCTGTAGTTTGTTTTTGGTTGGACAGAAGCAATTCCTAAAAGAAAAGCAGTGTGAAATCGGAGTCCACTGCCTGTTTGACGCAATTTTTTAAAATTTATAATACTCAAATTTGTTGAAGGGAAACTCTTTGAGAATTTCTTGTTATTCCCTACACAGATCTTATATCACATCTCATGTTTGTTCTCTTTCAGCTGGGGTGAATCATGGGGGATCAAGGGCTACATCATGATGGCCAGAAACAAGAACAATCACTGCGGTATCGCCACGGCCGCAAGTTACCCGACAGTTTAGAGAGAAAGAAGGGACATAATCATGACTGAAAATACCTTTAGTTTAGTTAATAATTGTATTACTTCTTTTCTAAAAATTAAAGTAGCATTTATTTGATATTTGTAACACATTTGTATATCTACTTTGTTAAATATTAAAAAAGCATTAGTAAAATAAAAGTAGGTTTCTGCAATATTCGTTGTTCATTTTGAAGTTAGATATTGATATTAAGGACAAGATACTTTAAGAACTTAGAAACATGATTTATATTTAGCTAATACTAAGTTTTGGAGAATTATTTCATACTATAAAAGTAGTTATGGCTTTTCAAAAAAAAAGCGTGCTTTTGTCTCAGGAAAACAATTTTATTACCTCATACAAAAAAACAACACATTTTTTAACGAAAGTTTTAGCACTTTATTAGATAAAAATAATGACAAGCTTGTAATTAGTTCGCAACGTCAGTTTGTGGGTTAGTCGTAAATCTTATAGCTCAATTTTAGCTAACTTCAAATGCATCCGATTCCGTTTAATTTTTTAGATATCTTTGGCTTCTATGATATTGCATGAATATTTATTTTTAATTTAATTAGACGTTAAATTAGTCATTAAAAATTAATTATAGAAAGTAAATTTGTTTAATTTTCTTAATTTCAGTGCATTTACAAACGTGTTGCAATAAAGTTTTTTTTATATTTATTTTTATTTTTCAAGTTTTAATCCTAATGTGAAAAAAAAATGTGTTGTATGTAAGGGGAAGTAAGTCGTAGATTCGATTGTAATTATTTACATACCGAGTTACATAACTTTAAACGTTTCTCATTCTATCATTTGATGTTCTATCAAAATACCCTTTATGTAAAAATGACATTTAATCAAACTATGAAAGTGAAGTCACGTTTTAGCCAATCACACATTCTAAATTATAAGTTTTATCTTTTAAAACATCCTCACTCTCCCAATCTACTGACATCGGAAGTAAAGTACGATCCATTCACATAAATGTTAACTTTTTTTAGACAATCACGATTAATGAGTTTTTTAAGGATGTAGTAACATTAATTAAAACATCATTTGTTTAATGCATTGGTTTATTTTTCATCAGAAATTTACCTTCATCAACACATAAGCACGTACTGTTTACTTACTTCATTAATGAATAAATGGGTGGTGAAGTCGTTTCGTTAAAAGATCTCCAACTAGTGAGAGATCAGAGGGCGACAAAATGGAAACTATATTCTAATTTTTTTTGTTTTGCTGTGCACACACCTTAAGTTATCCCGCCTGTAGTGTAACAAGGTGGTGGTGACATCATCACGTGGGTTGGGTGGGGGGTGATGACGTCGAATTCCTTATAGTAATAGTTTCTTACACTTTATATGTAGGCGTTTGCGGAGGGGGACGGCACACTTGGTGCAAAGGCGTAGCAACCCATTCCAGTGCCCGGGGCGAACTGTCAATTTAGTGCAACCCCCAGCTTTATATATATATATATATATATATATATATATATATATATATATATATATATATATATATATATATATATATATATATATATATATATATATATATATATATATATAATTTATTTATTTATTTATTAGAAATAACCCCCTCCACTATATGAAAAGGTGTTTGGTGTTTCTTACCATTCATTGTCCCGTAACATTTATTTGGTTTCACACAATTGATATGGAAAACAGATTTATACTGTAAATTACTTTTTTTAAGTTTGTAACAGTAGAACTATAAACAACAACAAGCAACCATTAAAATAGATCATAGTACTATATATTTTAAATAAACAGGTAACAGTGGCGGAACTAGAAAAAAAGGGCCACCCAGCAAAGAAATTTTTTGGGCCCCATATATATATATATATATATATATATATATATATATATATATATATATATATATATACGAAAATATGATAAATAGAATACTCATTTCGGGTTTGTATGAGTTTTTAAAAAAAATAATTTAAAATGTTTAGTTTTTATTAAAAAGTAAAAACAAGTTACACCACTTCATTTGTGTGACTGCTAGTCTGTTTTGAAAATCTCCGTTTTAATATGTTTGCTATAATGCCTCCTATGAATACGTCAATCGAAATAATATGAAGCATGAAAGCTGTGTGTGTGTAATGGTTTCTTGCCCTATGTTTATTTTTATGTTTTTTTTATTTATATTATTAGTTTTAAATACATTTATGTTGTATGCTTTGTCATTCTTTATTATGTATTTTTTAAAAAATAATAATTAAGAGAAGTAATTGCTTTTTAATTTGTTTAATGCAAATCTATTAAAAGGTGCTTAAGAGCACACATATTTGACTATTTAAAAAAAAGGAAATAAGTCATGGAAGTGGTTTGAACATTTGCGTATCTTTCACGCGATGGATTAATTTTAAAAAGAATTTTGCCGACAACAACATGTTTGGTGGTAGAAGAAAGAGGACCCGAGAAGGTGTCTCTAGAATAAAGATAATCAAACAGCAGCTGTAGTATTCTTTTTACAAAACATCCATCAAGTCAAAAATGCAAGAAAATTATTTTTTTTAACTGTAAAAAAAATGATTATGGTCGGCTGCGGGCCCGTAAACCTCCCCCCCCCCCCCCGCAGTGCGGGGTCTGGCGGCACTATAGTTCCGCCCCTGACAGGTATTATTTTGTATTCACCTGTCGCTTTTTTAAGATATTTTTCGTTTATTTTAGGGTTGCCATATACAACACATGAAAAAAAACTGCTAATATCGCAAAATCTCATCATTATTTTAAATGCTAAATAAAAGGACACCATGCCTTAACAAGGCCGAAAAATTCGCGAGATATTTGGTTTTAATTAATACACGCATTTCTTGTTGAGCACTCTAGGAAAAAAACTGAACTGCGGCATTAAACGACCCGTTAACCGTCGAAACCCCCTGGTACATGTGCAGTTATTTATAATTGAGACATTTATAATTATTAATTGCAGTCTATTTACAGTTCTGTTGATAAATTTTAAATCGAATTTCCTGATGAGATACCCATGCAGTCATTTCAATCTACTATTTTTAGTTTCGTTACGTCATTGTTGCGATACTTGCCAGACAGAAACAACTAGTTTTTGTTTTTTGCGGAATGAACTGTTAAGTCTAGTATTATATTTATAATTCAATTGTAGCATGCGCAGAAAAAGTAAAATTATTGACATTATTATTGTATTAGTAATTGTATTAGTATATTGATTTTTTTCTTCACTGTGGGCCGACAGTGGCTGCATTGAATTGAATTCGTGACAGGTGGTTAACCTCGTCAACGCTGAGTAGCCTATTCGGGTGTATAGTAATGTGTATGCGAGTGTGCAAGTGTGCGAGATCATTTGTCCATGATATATTTTGTCCAGGTATCTTTTGTCCGTGAGATCATTTATCATTGACATCATTTGTCCTGAGATCATTTGTCCTGAGATCATTTGTCCGTGAGATATTTTGTCTGAGATATTTTGTCTGAGATCATTTGTCATGGAACCCTTTAAACATACTTAAATGCACCACTATTGATATAACGGAATGAAAATGGTGGGTTTTATATATTATGTAGTAAAGCAGTATTATAAATACTTAACATGTATTATTTATGAAAAACGCAATGAATATTATAAATGTTTAACATCAATACTCACTTTTTTTTTTTACTTTCACACTTCATTTCTTTTAGTTTTTTCACTGTGTCTTTATGCTTCAAATAGGTTTTATACTTCGGAGAGTTCGCAAAATGCTTTGCATTAACACCTGTTTTTGTCACTGCATTTATTTCAGCGTTATTGTTAAGGAGAATGTTAACAATTATTTTTATGTCTATTTTTCGGAGCTAACATTATATCAGTGTGAGCCGGACGTTTTCCCAAAAGACACTTGCCCGAATGCTGTTTTCCCGAAGGCCGATTTCCGGAATGGACACTTGCCCTAATGGGACAAATGCCCGAATGGATGCTTGCCCGAATGCGCCAAATGCCCGAATGGACACTTGCCTGAATGCGACAAATGCCCGAATGACCACTTGCCCAAATGCGACAAATGCCCGAATGACCACTTGCCAAAATGCGACAAATGCCCGAATGGACACTTGCCCGATTGCGACAAATGCCCGAATGACCACTTACCAGAATGCGACAAATGCCCGAATGACCACTTGCCAAAATGCGACAAATGCCCGAATGGACACTTACCCGATTGCGACTAATGCCCGAATGACCACTTACCAGAATGCGACAAATGCCCGAATGACCACTTACCCGAATGAGACAAATGCCCGAAATCACTTTAAAGTTGTCATCAGATTAGCACATGCATTACAAATTTGATAGAGAAATCTTTAACAGAAATGCATCTAATTAGAATTACAATATGAAATCACAAACCCAGAGACAGAAGATCTTGAATATGATTGTTTTAATCAGGAATGTAACTATAGAACCATAAACAAAAATTAAATCTGGCTAGTACAAAAGCATCCTTTAAATACATTTTATAAAACAAGTATAGCATTATGATTGTTTAGAATCATGGGTTTAGTTTTGAGAACAATCATATACAGTATCAAATAGTAAAATATAGACAATGAAGAACGTCATAAAAATGTTTAACAAAAAAACATGTTTTTTTTTTTTGTATTTCTGTAAACATGAGAATTCCAAACTTTTAAGCTATTCATAACATTCACAGTTCGCTTAACTTCCACCGATAGAAAATAACTGGAACTTTTAATTAAGTCATTCTAGAATAAGAATTATAGAAATTGAAATCGACCGTAAAAAGGAGCGGTAACTAATTAATTTTTGTAATGTTTGGTAAATGTTCGTTGTAACGGTTGGAGTGTCTTTCTAGATGTACAATGCTGCAGGGGATAAGGTAATCTTGTAGATATCTTCTAAGATGCTGGCCAAACCATTATATTTCACATACAAAACTGTTTTATTCAAGTAAACTTTGCTAATTAAAAACGTACATCAGAAATGTATTCATACTGGTACTAAGTAATTGACATGATACCTAATATTTTATTAATTGTTAACATGTCCTTTATAGACCTACTTTTTAATCGTCTAACCCTTCCTAATTCCTGTGAACGACATTATTTGACTTTGAAAAATTCTAAAAACCCTTCCTAATTCAGCTTATGTTTCCTTCTTGTAAATTTAGTTTTATTTTTATATACACACACTTTTCCATTTTATCAATATATTATTTCAATTTTATTATTTCGAGACGCAAACGGTTTAAAAAGAATTTCAATACATTAGAGATGGATTTCGTTTTCATAAAGAAGATAATGATATGACATAATCACCCGGGTTACTATTTTATAGAGTTGACGGTGTAGATTGTTTATGAGTAAAAAAAAGAATCCCTCCCACATGCAATTTTGTTTGAAAAAATGATTTTTATTTCTTATTGAGTACGTTTTATCCATATACAGTAAACCGGTTTCAATCTGCCTCAAATAAATACTGCCCTAAAAAATTCATAAATTTTTTAACGATTTGAATCTAGTTCTAACGCGTGCACGATATAAATTGTGCATAATTGTGTTTAATAATCCTCAGTTTATTATTGATCTAAAAAAATGTTGTTTCTATTTTTGATAAAGATTAAAATATAGATATTGAGTGTGTGAAGTTGTAGATTAATATCACAAAAGCTAGCAACTAGCTAATACATTATATGCAGTATATAAAATAAATAAATATGTGTAAGTAAAAAGGTAAAATGTTTTATTAATAAAAAGTTAAATTGTTCTTTAAATATTATAATTTGTTTTGATTATTTCATGTAGGCTGATTAATCAGTTTTGGCGCTGTAAACTCCAACCTGTTAAAATTTTAGGAAATTTAATTAACTTGAGAAAATATACACATAATTAATGTTTTCTTAAATTAATAACGATATTTAGTTTTATAACAACTATTATGTTTTTTTTATTTTTATTAAATTACATTTTTATAACGATTTCATCTTTACACACATATACATACATTTATCAACACACATAACTTACATCATTCTGCATTTACTTTGACAGTTAGAGCCTGTTTGGAATCAACCATTACATCTTCTTCATCGAATCGGAAGAACTCATTAAGCTGTAAAATACATATAACCACATAATAACCATATGGTAACTACATGATGACAACATGATGACCTTATTATGACCAGATTATGACCCGATGACAACCAATTGATGAACACACGGTTATCATACTATAAACTGATAATAAGAATAATACGTGATGATTATAATATGACTTCATGGGACAAACTAGGTGACTAAATGATTACCTCACAACGGTATGATTAGCTGATGACCATGTGATGACCACATATTAACCACTCAGTGAACACACATTAATCTGATCACTATTGCCCACATGTTGATCACATGTAAAACGATTCTATCAATATTTTAAAAGTTATGACATGCATAACTAATATACATACAGGTTTAGCTCCAACTGATACTTTTTCAAACAGCAGGTTTTTAAAACACAGTATAATACGTAAAACAGTTATCTAAATATTGCAATTTCAAATTTGAAAGATAACAACTTTTTGAATTACCTGTTTTTTGGATCTGAGGCCATACCGACACCATTTAGCAAACTGGACGCAGTTGTTGAAGACTAGCGCGTATTGCCAGTGTCCAATGCTATTCTGTGCTCGCTGTAGTACAATTTCAGTGTCAACAGCTCTTGAAAAGCAAAAGCAAAAATAAAAACATATTTTGACATCTGAATTACGTTCGGTATTTGTTGTTTTGCGTTAGTGAAGATTTTTAATAGATTTAGTATACAAAGTATAAAGGGAGTATTGTAATCGTGCTGAATAATTTGACACCTCTGTAATTTATCTTATACGGAACATAAACAATGTATTCTAATCGTGCGAAAAATCTAAATTGAGATTTTGACAAACTTTGAAGTTTTACATCCTTCCGGAACGGAAAAACTTGGTTTTTACAATTTTTTCCATGTCTGAGTGTGTCTTTTAACACGATCTTTTGAGTACCATTTCAGTTACGTTGATGCAATTTCAAATGTAACTGTTCATCACATTTGTGGTTATGCTTAATGAAAGTTTTTAACGATTTCTTGTAACCGAAATGGTATATACTCTTCTTACGGTTTCTCAAAAGCCAATAACTAGTGGAACCTTTAAGTTAAGTAGATGAAATTTCAAATTTAAATATACAATTGTATGCCCAGTATTCTATCAGTACCGGATGTGGCACTTTACCATATTTCCGTGTGAACAGTTTACATTGAGTACTGCTTCAGTTAGGTAAGATAAATTTCATGTATAAGTATAGTATAGGTTCTTACACTAGGATAATTTTCAATTTGTGAGTGACCTCCGATAACCGTGAGTGATAATAACTTTCCCGTTTTTTTTCAAAAAGCTATCACCTAATTTACTGAATGGTTCAAACTTTTTAAGTAGATAAAGAATCAATTGAAATGAAAGTTGACATAAAATATTTGACTTAATTAGATGTCAAATTAACTTTATAAAAAAAATTAGCAATGATTCCTTTATAAAGAACTAATTTTCCAAATTATTTTTAGACATATTGCGTGGGTTCATTTGGTGCGCAATTCTTTTTTAAGTATTAAATAACTAGGCATATTTACTAGTTTTGCTTTGGTTTTAAAATAAAGAAATTGAGAATTTGAATAATTGATTAATTGTTGATTGGCTGTTATGTGGAGTGCTTAGAGCCTAAGTTTAAAGAGTCTCAGTAATTTTATGTCATGCAAACATGGGTAGAGTATTCGCAGACTTATTACGCGCAAGGTTATTAGAACTGAAAAGGCTTCTTTAATAGTATAAATCAAAAATATATCAAATTCAGTTTGACGATTAATATTTGTGCAATTTCACTACAATACATAACTTAATTTATAACGAAATATCTATTTAAACGACTGCTATACTTTGTAATATTGTTTTAAATAGTATAAAAATTATTTTAAAAAATATTTAAATAAGTTACCACCCCTGTATAAGGACCAAATGACGTAGTTTTTGTTAACTTTTTCACAAGCAATTGTTTGTATAAGAAAATAGTGCATCTGGACAAATCCAACAAACGTAATGTGTTTTTCCGACGGGAATAAATTTTATTTGTTATTTCCAGTGTCGGTCTACGACCTCACAAAATATTAGAGGGGGGGGGGGGGGTTGTTCGTCAATTTATTTACATATATCTTATATAAGGAGAATTTCACTTGCGGTCATTTTTTAGCCCTCCTAGAGAGCTTTGAGTCTGATCAACAGTTTTTCCCATACGGCCTAGCCACATATAGAGGTGCATGCAAAGAATTAGCCAGATATACAGAGGGCAAGTACCCTAAAATGTGTGTTGAAATTACCCTGTGTCAAACCGCAATCAATTTTTTTAAAAATACTGTATATAGAGAATAATCGAATATCGCCCTGCTGGGGCGCCAACCCTGCAAATTTGAAATATTTTTCACAAATAGTCATACCTTCCAGAAATTTCATCCCGATGGAATTGAAAGGTGTAGTATTTCATAAAAGACAAAAATAGAAACATACACATGCATTGCTTTATATTTATATAAGTATATATATATATCTATATCTATATATATATATATATATATATATATATATATATATATATATATATATATATATATATATATATATATATATATATATTAGATCGTGTTTATCTCAAGTTTCGACAAAATATATCACATTTAAAGGTTCGATCAACTGCACCAAAACATTACCCACTTCTTTAGGAAGCACACTGGGTTGGCATGATGAATAACATATTGTATATTTATTTATTTTTCTAAATAGGTTATATTTTATAATAATTAACTAAGGTTGACTGTAATTTAAATTCTGTTTGTAGCAGAACCTAAGAAATATTTAACATAGTACAAATCAAGTGAGAAGAAAGAAACGTAATACGACAAGCATTTTAAAATTTAAAACAAATTATGAATATACCTATTTTGGCCGTCAACCGACGCTTAGCTGCGTATAAGAAGATTATTATATAAAGCTTTCATTCATAATACAATTGTAAACGTATTATTCTTAGCATAACTTACACCCAGTCATCATCCATGTCATTCCCATCATAAGCCTTGTCACCTTGTGCAACATGTAAGAAATGCTCACGTTTTATTTCAACTTTGTGTCTTTTTATATCATCACAGAATGATCCTTCCACGTGGATTACATTACTATCACCTACATTAAAAAAACAAAGAAAGAAAAAAATCATTAAATTTTTTTTATACCTAAGCCTACATATAAGTATAAAAATAAATATTACACTAAATGATAACTATACCAAATGAGCAACATTACATTTCAACTTGAAAGCGCACCACAAAAAAGTTTTCGACTTAAACATTTATAATTCTCATTTACGCAAAACAGTAATGAGGGATGAACTTTTAAAAAGAGCAACAGCCAAGTATTCATAATATTTAAACTGGTAAACTTTAACCATGCGTTTATAGTGGTATTGTTATACGGAGGATAAATATATTGGTTAAAACGCGAAGCCCGATTTTTTAACTTTTTGTTTCATACATTACATTTTTTTAATTGAATATGATTCAATAACAAGCAAACAAAGTAGCCACTTTTATCTTTTATTTTGTTAAATCCCCTACAATTTAATATGATCTTAATAAATGATCCTCATGAATGTACTAACCTTCATAATGTAGTCACTTTCGTAAACTTTTGTACTAACCTTCGTAAACAGCCCAATGAGTGTACAAACTCCTGTGGAATTTGACAAGATCTCCGGGTTTCAAAGATCTCAAAACATTCAAGTTGTGAGTCTGGTTTCTATCTGTAGCCATTCTGAATAGTCTTTCTAAAATTAACAGATGCACTACTTCATGAAAAGCAGAAGATATTACTTTAAAGCTATTATAAATACGTACCTACTTATTTTAAAAAAATAAACTAAACGAAACAGTAATTTAGGTTTTCAATAATAAAATGATAGAAGTTTGTATAGCAATTCAAAGAAAGTATAAATGGTTAAGTTTAGCAAAAATATTATTGTATGAGTACAAATCATCTATATATATAAAAAGCAATGTATGTCTGTGTGTCTGTGTGTTTGTTTGTCCTTTATGCATTACTACACCTCTCATCACATCGCCGTGAAACTTTGGGAAGTTGTTGAGAATATTCCTGGGGAGGTTTCTGCGAAAAAAAAAATGTCAAATTCGCAGGGGTGGCACCCCGGCAGGGCGCGATTTGTTTTTCTCTATATACGGTATATAAAAATAATAAAAGTGAATTGCAGTGACACCGTTCACACGATCGCCATGAAACGCTGGGAAGATGTTGAGAATACTCCTGGGGAGGTTTTTGCGAAAAAAACATTTTCAAATTCGCAGGGGTGGCGCCCCGGCAGGGCGCGATTTGTTTTTCTCTATATACCGTATATAAAAATAAAAGTCGATTTTGGTTTGGCATCGTTCATCCGATAGCCATGAGACTTTGGGGAGTTCATTATACCACTCTAGGAAAGGGTTCTGTAGAAAAATAATTTTTAATTTTGCAAGGGCGGCGCCACGGGAGGGTGCGATTTTTCTCACTATACGGGATATAAAAATAAAAGTTGAGTTTGGTGTGACACCGTTATCCGATAGCCATGAGACTTTGGGGCAGTTGATTGGGACACTCCAGGGAAGGTTTCTGCAAAAAAAAATCTTTTTTTTTTTTAATTTCTCAAGAGCGGCGCTACGGAATGGTGGGATTTTTCTCAATATACGGTATATAAAAATAAAAGTCGATTTTGGTTTTACACCATTTATCTGATCGCCATCAAACTTTGGGGAGTTGATTAGAACAATTCAGGGAAGGGTTCTGTAAAACAAATAATCATTTTTAAATTTCGCAAGGGCGGCGCCACGGGAGGCTGCGATTTTTCTCTATATACGGTTTATAAAGATAAAAGTCTATTTCGGTTTCACACCGTTGATCCGTGTACCATGAAACTTTGGGGAGATGATTAGATCACTCAATGGTAGGGTTCTGCAAAAAAATATTTTTTTAATATTGCAAGGGCGGCGCCCTCCGGGGGGGGGAGCGATTTTTTTTTCTCTATACACGGTATATAAAAAACACAACAGCAGTAAAACTACAACAGGCTTCTAAAAATAACTTTGTAACGCGAGGAAATCCTTCTGTACAGTTTCGTCAACTTGCGAAAGATGAAAAAATAACTTTTTGAATATGAGGAGCCTACTGTAGAGTTTCGTCACTTTGCGAATGATGCAATAAGCATCTATTATTAGACGATCCAGTCAGAAATTGAGATCGAGCATCTAATAATAGACCATTAGTAAAGCTAGCATATTGCATCAGTCACACTGATGTGTTAACCCTTTATCTACTGACGGTACTTATAAGTACCACTTTAATTAAGTGCCTGTATTATATTAAATTACATACGAATTTTAAAAATTATTGATGTATTTTATAGTATTATCTCCCCCGAGTCGCCGGTAGTCGGAGGTATCAATGTTTTTAAAAAAATTAATGGTGTGGCGCTTTTTCAATGTCTTGCTATATCGGTAGTTCACAATTTTTCTGTACATTTCTCACACCCGTTCCTGATTTCCTTTTGTTTTACCTTATTTTTCAAGTTTTCAACCCCAAATATTTTTTATTGGCACCTTCAATAGTCAGGCAAACGCGTTTAACTTCTAGTTATACAATTTTAATCAAATTGTCTTTATATTAGATCGATGTTTACAAGTGGACTTATAAGTACCGTCAGGGCACACGGTCATTTTTTTTAGGATTTTTAGAAAATTGCAGATTTGTTAGGTGGAGTTACATAAATATTGTCTTGATAATTACTTATCGAAATGTACTCAAAAAATGATATTTACACATTTATAAGAAGGTTTGCATATGGTTTACCTAAGAAATATTGTAATTACATGTTCATTTCTAGTAGTAAATAAACCGGGAGTGATCTCCCCTAAACTTTCTCGAATATTCTTATATAAAACAACAGGGGATGGGAACTCGGGCTATTGACATGATTTTTAATCCATTTTAAATACTTAAAGTTTTAAAAATAGATTAAAATCTCGTAGACAAAATAATTGCACGCCAAGTGAACTAGTGAACGACAAATAAAAAAGTGTACAATAGCGCGCAATATTATTAGTACTTTAAAAATTTACATTAGTTTTTTGAGAAATCGGAAGTAGCGTAAATTACTACTTCCGGTCAACGGAAATTACTCAAAATTTAACAGAAGGTAGAGAATTAGATCTTTTACTTACATGTGAAATTTCATTTATCTATCTGAAATAGTACTCAAGTTATAGGCTCTTGAAAAATTCAAAGTAGGAAAAGTACCACTTCCGGTTATCGGAAATCGCTCAAAAGTTGATACGGATCTACGATTTTGATAAAATACTTATATATGAAATTTCATCAACCTAGCTATAACGGTACTCAAGTAATCGTGTTTACACACGGACACACACACAGACACACAGACATACGGACAGAATTGCAAAGCCCAGTTTTTCAGACTGGATTACGCATAAAACCTCTTAATTTTGATACATCTGGATTGATAATTTTTGCCCGATTAAAATAAGTCCTCTATACTTCGGATGTGATGAAGGACTGAGGTGTAATACGGTGAAAATTGTTAAAATTTCAAGTGATTTTTGTGCACGATTACAATACTTTCTCTATACTTCGTATATACGAGAAAGTAAAAAATAACAAGAATAAAGGTATCAGTTGCAGGCTCGTTTATAAGGTTTAGTATACTTCATTTGTATACCAAAGCCTAGTTCAGGTTGTAAGATTTAATTTGTTAGTTATATTTACTGCAATGAACTGTCTTGCCTACAACAACTAGCATTTACATAATGTATACCTGTAGACTAGTAATAGTCCATACTTCTGCATATAGTATAGATCTATAAGGTAAATTTAAATCAGTAAGCAGAAAAGAGTAATCCACTACTTCTTCCAAAACACATTGAGCTCACTTCTATTTATGAACTTTGCACTGTAGTGTAGACTTGTCATAACATTATAGTAGGCTACAATTATATTAGTATTTCTAGTAGTTGTGTGCTGAATGACTAGGCTTTTGTTTGTTTATGCGGCTCATTGTACTAGTTATTGGAAGCTTCCAGCAAAAGCATATTCATTCCGGCAACCGTTGCAACACTAGAAAGACCACAGACAAGATTGAGGGAGCATGACATGTCGACTACTTTTGCTGTGTTTGAGGTCTAAGATGTGTTCCGATAGAAAATCCAGTAAAAATCGTACTCAAAATATACTTTTGTGCTGTATTTATGTGTGAAAATTACAAAAAAGTGATTGTTATAATGATTGCCATGTTATTAGTTAATAAATTGTATCGTTTGTTCCTGTTTTGTAAAAAAAATTTTTTTGAAAAAAAATGTCCTAGTTTACTGACGGTACTTATAAGTACCAATATCTGTTTGGGCCATTAAAAATTTATGAAACGAAATTTCCTTCGATATATGCTTTGAATGTGCCAAAAGCAATATAGTAACACATTGTTTAAGTAAAAATCTCATTCAGAACATAATTCCGTAAATAAAGGGTTAAAACACGTCAAATAATTTGTTTACGTGTTTAAAAAAAATCCTGTTCATTTGTTTCAATTTAGCGAATGACAAAATCTGCATCACTATTAACAGGAGGCTATTTGGCACGATGGCGCCTGTTAGTTTTAGGGAGACAGGGGTCGTACGCCGCGCCTATGCGGTAGTTTAATCGGGAGGTGGAGGCCCTGAGAGTGCCCCTCTACGTCTCTGACACATGGGCCGTCACCGAAGTGTGTTCTACCATATTATTTCGGTGAGTGATTAATGTACACTCAATGTTTTCATGCTGTAGTGTAGGTAAACCCGTGTCCCGATATTTATGATCCAAGCGGAGGCTTTGTTTACATTTAAATAACTCATTTTTAGAAAAGACGTCGCGCGTTTAAAAACAAATGATTGGTAATGCATTGGTGATATCCTTCTAATATATTTCGTCAAACTTTCTTCTATCCCCGCGGCAACGCGCGGGGGTCGGGTACGCTAGTATTATATAAATATAGAGTAGAATAAATATGTTCTTTGGTCGTCATTTAAAATATATGTATATATAAAGCAGTTGTAACAATACGACTACATTTGTTTTAAATGCACTTCGTTCTTAATTTTGGTGTTGGAAGGGATCCCCTCCAAGTATCCGTGTCAACTGGTTATGCGCCATTGAGGCCAATAACTATTTTCTGTAGCCTTGTCTACCCTTGGCGTTGAAATATCACTTTCTGTTTATATTGCTATTTCAGTTACAAAACGCCTGCCTCCACCCCCTCTACACGTTTAGGTCATTGACTCCGATTTAAACCTGATTTCATTTTGGATTTGCTTCCATAGCTATTGTCAAGAACAAACTACAAAGCAGAAGTTGTTTGATTTTGGAGCTGTCTCTCCTAGAAGAGTGGCTGTCCCCAGCTAACGAGCCTCATCTGCCCTAGGTATCATTTTCAACATTCGAGTTTTAACACTATTTTTATCCTTAAATCAGTAACGCCCTTTGCGTTATCCTCTTCCCATAGTTTAATTAAACGTTTTTCTAACATTTTTTCGTAAAGATATTTTTATGTGTTACATGTGAAGTCATTTTGCTAGTGATAGTTTTTGTGATTCTTTTATATATTCTGGAGAACATGCTTGTCACAACCATAAGCACTTCTCCCGTTGCATAACTAAAGTTGTGTTTCAACATCCAAATATGCCTTTTTCTGTCTTTAAATAAAATTGTGTTTATACATTTAATGCATCCAACATATTATTATCAACAAAAGCCTGTATTATTAAGTTCTCAATTATATTCTAAAGATACTGATCTCATAGCTTCGACAAATATGTAGGGAGAGAGAAAGAGAAAGAGAAAGAGAGAGAAGAAAAGGGTACAGTTGCGTTTGTGTATTAGGATTTTCTATGCATTCAAATGCTTATTATGTTTAAAGTTTTTATATGTTTTTTTCACTTTTATTAAGTTATTCCTTCGTAATGAAGTTGTACATATTTAGTCTATCACTAAATATTCTTGCTTTAACACCCGACCAGTAGCTTACAACCTCTAAACTAATTAATATATGCACCTTCTAAGCAGTTTAGTTCGTCGATTAGCTTCTCATGTAATCGCTAATAATTAATCTTGTTATTCCCCCTTTATTATTGGATTTAGGATCTTTTGATTAAATTTTAATGAGTAAACTCATTAAACTCAAAAACCAGTTGATATTTTTGCGTTGTTATTTAATTAAATGTATATAAAAATTAAGTTTGAAACGCATTAGAAGTGGTTCAAACTGAATTACACGCTTTGCCACGGACCCACAAAAAAGCAAACTAACAAACAAACAAACAGACGTTGTGATCTAAATTAAAGCTTATAAAAACTATGAAAAGGAAATGTACAAACTGGATTCATTGTGCATTTCTACTTTTAACAACGTTTTCAATTCAACAGTAAGCACGATCAAAGCTTCTTCCATGAATTGGAAAACCTCATTAACCTGTATGTGTACAAAGGAAAACGAAATTATTGATTTGAATTTTCTGCATTTTTTTTTTCATTTAGATTTCATTAAAAGCTTGAAAAAAGAAAAACAGTATTTGTATATAAAGTAGTATATAATACAACCATTGATTACCTGTTCACTCGACTTTCTACCATACCGGCACCATTTAGCAAAATGTTCACAGTTGTTAAACAGCAAATCGTATCGCATTTGTCCAATGTTGGCCTTAGCACGACGTATAATGTCAGCAGTCTTAAGCGGTCTAAATATAAAATAAATTCATTTTGTAACACAAAAATGTTGAAAGGGTTTAATATGTATAAATTTTACCCCCTCCCCCCCCCCCTCTCCCCGCAAACATATTTTGTTAAAGAAACTGGTGGTTATCTTCGAAAGATGCACATCTTCATAAATTACTATATAATTGTATTTTCAAATCGAAAACCATAGTTAAATTAAATTTGATTTGAATAGGTTATAAACTTTCTTTGTATTGAAAACAACAAACATTTTAAATTTATTTATGAAGGTTTTAATTAAATTTATCACCTTATGTTTCGTGGCTTGCTTAATGGTCTTCATGTAACTAATAAACATTCAATCCCCAGACTATTTAGTCCTGTTTATAAATATCTTGGACGTTTTAAAGTTCTGACAATACCCTTCCTTTAAGAAATATGTTGTTAAGAATATAATGCTAAAGTATTGAATGACTTGTACACTTACTCCCATTCTTTATCCATATCATTGCCACTGTAAGCTTTGTCACGATCGCAAACTGTATAGAAGTCTTCTCGTTTAATTTCAGCTTTGTGTTTTAGCACAGACTCCTCGAATACGCCTGCCACGTGGATCATGGAGTTATTACCTGGTTTAAACAAAATCAAATGAAAACACGATAAATGATTTAGTAGCCTGCGCTAGAATAAAATTAGATAAATGGTGTTTTATATGTCTCCTATCCAAAAATGTTTTCACCTCATATATTTTTCATATTCAATCATCAACAACATTTTTTTAATTGGTCTAGATCAGGGGTCTCCAAACTTTTCAGTCCAAGGGCCGCATTAACTATCAAATTTCAGTTTGGGGGCCAGTTTCTTCCAGGCATGTCTTTGATTTGTCTGACAAAGTTTCTCGGCCATCAACAACAAACGTTTTTCTGTGGACAAAAAGATCTCCTCGGGTCGGATGAGAGGACCTCGCGGGCCACATCCGGCCCGCGGGCCGTAGTTTGGAGACCCCTGTTCTAGATATACAATTGTGAATAAACTATCTTACCTTCATATACACCCCAATGTGTGTACCATCCTCTTGGAAACTTGACCAGGTCACCCGGCATTAATTTTTTCAAAAGTTCTTGGTTGTGATTTCTGACCGGATCAGTCGTCATTTCCTGAAAACTTTTTAAATATTAAATATAATTATAAATACAAATTCAGTATCAAATGTTTCACAAATTGTTTCCTTCCAATAGTTGACCATAATACATTAATTTTCGCGTTCCTTTTATGATTTTTTGCTTCGCTGCGGGAGAAGATGTAAGCCTTTTTTACCCGAAGAAAGATGTTTTAAACTTAACGGGTAATTCAAGCCCCGATAACAATATAATGTAACATAAACTTTATATAGAACTGATTCGTTCCTTTATATCATCATAAATCAAACAACGAAGTTACTCAATGTCAAAGTTTACGTTACACATTTGCAATATCACAAATATCTGTGTGCTTAAATTATTTTGGCGCTACCCAGCCACTGCACCCCATTTCCAGGTGTATATATTTTCGACAATAGAAACAGCAAGCAGAAAGCATATTACTCAATATGTATTTTTGACTGTTTTAGACCATATTGTATTTTTGTTAGATACTTTTTCTAAGGTACGCGGACCTTTGACCACAGGTTCTTTGACCATACGGGGTTTGACTCTCAGGAAACATTTATGAAATTGTATTAATTGTATCTTAAGTTTAAATCAAATAACAGTTTATAATCTCTATTTTAAAATCTATATATTATGGTTAACCCCGTCTGTGGTCAAAGCCCCGCTGTGGTCAAACCCCCTCTGGTCAAAGCCCCGCTGTGGTCAAACCCCCTATGGTCAAACCCCCCCATGGTCAAAGTACCTGTGGTCAAAGCACCTAGGACCTTTTCTTAAGACTTTAGAGCAAGCCGTTTAATAGACTGTTTCGAAACGCAACTTATGAACGTTGACGTTCGCCATGATATTAATACTTGTTTACTACATAACATTCTCAAATTTATATTATTAAAAAGTAAATGTAAATACATTTTAATTTATATAGATATTATTAAATAAATATTTAAATAAAAATAAAAACACTTGCGTTAATGGTTTAGGGTAGTACGTCGTAGTCATATGGTAATGTTAATTGCTTCACTAACGATTGCAGGATACGACAGCAGAATGCGTGCTTCGAATGCCTCGCTAGATACTTTTATACCTCTACATTTTTTAATGCAATGAGACCGATACGAATGCGCATGCGCAAGTTATAGCTGACTCCTAGTGTCACCAATAGTAGAAGTTATATTCAAAGATAGACCTTATCCATTCTGTTCTATTCCCAAAATTAAGTATATTACCTAGCTTCGCTTTTTTTTAAACAATTGAGAATTTGAATGTTTAATGTATTGGTGATTGGCTGTTATGTGAAGTGCTTACCTAAGTTTAAACAGTAATTTCATTTTAGTGTAAAGCCTGTAGAATATATTCTCAAAGTTATAATTCGCAAGGTAATTAAACCCTCAGAGGCACCCTTAATAGTATAAACTCAAATATTATTTTTTCATTAACTTTTATAGTTAATATCTACAATTTAATTAGGTTACGTATATTACTGTATTACGGACTTAAGTTAATGCTATAGTTTGTCGTTATTTGTCTTTCTTGAAAATAGTATAAAATTAATTGAAATGCAATTAATTATTTCTTTAGAAAGCTACCTCCCTTCTAAATAAACCAAATGACTTAGTCTTTGTTTACTTTCAATTTTCACAAAAATATGTTATGCTTAAGAAAATATTGCCTCTGGACTAATCTAACGGCCCTTAGTGAGTTTTTCGACGGGCATAACTTTTTTGTTGTCATCCAGGGTCGGTCAATGACCTTATAAAATATCAGCTTGGGGTCTTTCGGTAATTTTTTTTTCCGGTATATTGCTCAAATAAAGATAATTTCCCTAGCCATTTATCGAGATGCATGCAAATATTGTTTATCACGTAAATCACAAAGATTATATAGGGATATACGACTCGTCAGATGTAACCGCTTAACCTATGTTTCCTAGATATGGCATCTATGGGAGATTTTCAACGACCTCATAAAATATCAATGCGGGTCTTCCGGCAATTGGTTGTTTCGATATATCGCTCATATTAGGAGAATTTCACGTGGCCACTTTTTAGCCCTCGCACAGCGAGTTTTTCCTAATGGCCCATTTATGTACCCGTAAATGAAAAAAAATGAGCCAAATGTACAAAGTCCAGGTACCATAAAAAATGTTTTGAAAATAGTCATCGTTTTCTTTAAATTAACAATGATTATATAGGGAATTCGGAATGGTCATTTTTAAAGACCCCCCGAAGTTTTCCAGAATATAACGCCTATTTTATAGTGACCACCTCAGGTTGTTCTAAGTCCTTAAGAGTTAGGGTAGGGTTTGTATGTCTAAATATGTGTATTTATTTTACTTTTACAAAAACAGTACTAAGTTTATTTTACTTTTACAAAAACAGTACTAAGTTTATATAAGGAAATATGGCCTCTGGTCAGTTGAAACAGTGTTTCGGATTTTTCCGATAGTAGCACCGTTTTTTGATTTTGTGTAAGAGACTTAATTTACGTGAATAGGCTCTAATATTATGTTTAATTAATTTGTTATCCTAAATTAGCCAATTCTCCATAACTAACACACACACACACACACACACACACATATATATATATATATATATATATATATATATATATATATATATATATATATATATATATATATATATATATATATATATAATGCATTACTACTAAACGGTTGATAAGTGAAGAAGTGTATAAGTCCGGTTGTTTAAATTAGAATCCGGCTGCCTCCTACACATTTCTAACATAACTTAGGCGTTGAACCATTGCCGGCTTACTAAAAATAAAAAATAAAAATAAAATGAAGGTAGTGTAAATAGTTATTGCAGTTACATTCCATTGACAATTATTTACGTGACATAAAAAATGAATTGCAACATATCATGAATTTCAAAACATATGTAACTTCAGTCAAGTGTAGACGTTTCTTATTTGACACTATTTTAAAATGTAAGATCGCACACGAAGCCGGATATGTATAGTGATGCGTAGCTTTCTCACACATTCCGAACTAACGTCGTGTTAGAATGTGTTGCAACAGCGTTATTTATTTATTTATTTACAATGAACATTTTTATGTCAAATTAAATGTCAACGTCGACCTCAATGAAGGTCACTGTCATTGTCGATTTCTCGTCTAGATCTAAGTCAGTTTCTAGGTCTAGGTCTAGGTCTAGGTCTAGGTCTAGGTCTGGGTCTAGATCTAGTTCTAGTTCTAGTTCTAGTTCTAGGTGTAGGTGTAGGTGTAGGTGTAGGTGTAGGTGTAGGTGTAGGTGTAGGTGTAGGTGTAGGTGTAGGTGTAGGTGTAGGTGTAGGTGTAGGTGTAGGTGTAGGTGTAGGTGTAGGTGTAGGTGTAGGTGTAGGTGTAGGCGTAGGCGTAGGCGTAGGCGTAGGCGTAGGCGTAGGCGTAGGCGTAGGCGTAGGCGTAGGCGTAGGCGTAGGCGTAGGCGTAGGCGTAGGCGTAAGCGCAGGCGTAGGCGCAGGCGTAGGCGTAGGCGTAGGCGTAGGCGTAGGCGTAGGCGTAGGTGTAGGCGTAGGCGTAGGTGTAGGTGTAGGTGTAGGTGTAGGTGTAGGCGTAGGCGTAGGCGTAGGCGTAGGCGTAGGCGTAGGTGTAGGTGTAGGTGTAGGTGTAGGTGTAGGTGTAGGTGTAGGTCCAGGTCCAGGACGTTGTCGTTGTCGTTGTCGTTGTCGATGTCGTTGTCGTTGTCGTTATCGTTGTCGTTGTCGTTCACGTTCACGTTCACGTTCACGTTCACGTTCACGTTCACGTTCACGTTCACGTTCACGTTCACGTTCACGTTCACGTTCACGTAAACGTCCACGTTCACGTTCACGTTCACGTTCACGTTCACGTTCACATTTACGCTAGTTATTCAAAACTTTCAAGTTTTCAACCGCCTTGATATTTTAATGTGTGTTGTATGCATTCCAGGTATGCATTGGTTGTCCTCAGTTAGGGTGTCGTAGAATACAACTTGGCCTCGATCGCGTTCCAATTTTTTTTCCTACCGCTCTAAAATGAATATAGAAAACATACAGCTCATTTTCGAGGCACTGGCACTAGAACACGTCACGTGCAATTAGAACACATGCTTAAGTATCAGTACTTCTGAACTCCTTTGCAGGACGCTGAATCGTCAGGAACTCCCTGTTTCATTTTTATCAGGTGATTGTGATAGTAGTGATTGTATATTTTTAAGCCAGCAGTATAGTAATACAATATGTTCTTAAAATTACATTAATGTCCAAACAGGTATTTTCTTCTGATACTTTTAACTCGCGGAAATTCCGCTAGCATAAATTTGAAAAAAAGCCCCACCATATTCTCCTATTTCTATGTATTGAGTAATGTCTGTCTTTGAGAAAGTAACTCTAACTATAGACTAAATTAAATACAGCAAACAGAAACAAAAAAAAAACAATTCTAATATAGCTTGCTCTGTTTATTTCTAAGTCCACTGTTTTAATAAAGTTTTAGAGAAGCAACTTTTTAAAAGTGTGTAAATAATGATAAAAGCATAATTTTAATGGACATATTTTAATTAAAAAGAAATAAACAATTTTAACAATAATTAAAATACGAATTAATACAGTAGTTACACATCGATATAATGTCATATATATAGGTGATTTTATCATAGAAACATATCTTTCCCTATGAAATTTTTTGTGTCTATCTTTTATGCGAACAATTGCATCTAGCAATATATCAATAAGGAACGGTTATTAACAGTGCTCTATATTACGATAGCAGCTTAATAAGGCGGTGCGGACAGTACCGAGTCACAACATTAATAAAGGTACTCAAACAACCAGACTGGCACGGACTGACTGGTAGCTCCCCTCAAACCTATGACCGCGCCGGACATCCTCAGGTGTTTGGACTCTAAGTCAACACCTGCTGTTATTCATTAGGCGATCCTGCAAGGCATCTATATATAGGTTCCCAGAAAGAACCGCAACGGAAAAAAGCGCAACGGAAAAAAGCAGCCCTAACAGTCATGTAT